ATCACAACGACAGAGGATCTTCCTCTACAATAAGGGATACGAGCTCTTCTGCCCCAGCTACTCCCTTGGTCTCTGCCCCAGGCAAATGCAAATCTCCACAACGGGTATCTGCTTTGCCTGTTTAATGGGCAGGAAACAACCTAGAAGATGTATCTTTTCTAGGACATTGTCATAGCCTCTTATATGACCATTATTCTCCTCAGAGTGCTCACAGACCCAGCAGGGTGTTTGTAAACTATATCCCTAACAGGCTAGAATTTCAGAAAAGGCAAGAAGCTTGGTAGCAATGGCTAGCTTAAATGTAAACTAGCTGACTTTTCTTTGTTCCAACTCATTCAGCTTACTTTTTAGTTTTCCTCTTTTTCTGGAGGTGCTTTCCTTTGCCAAGAAGGGGATCTTGGGTCCCCATTCTCCCAGCAGATCACCCATGCAACATTTATCCGTTATGTTCACTGTCTATAAGAGGGTGGTTGTGGCCCCCTAAAACAATTACAGTAGTAACAGAAACATCAGTGATCACAAGTAAGAGTAGCAGATGTAATGAAAATATTGTAAGAATTAACAGAATGTCACTCAGAGACAGATAGGAACATGTGCTGCTGGAAAAATGATGCTGATAGACTTGGTCAATGCTGGGCCCCCATAAACCTTCAGTCTGTAATCTGTGAAAAGTGCAGGCGACAGGTGCAGTGGCGTGAGGCGTTCCTGAGCTCCTCCCGCTGTGCGACCCGCCTTCCCACTCTTTTGTGTCCCTTAATGCACAATGTTTGTTTTTGCTTCAGTTGCCTATGCTTTTGTTGTCATATTTTAAAAATGCCAAATCCAATGACATGAAGCTTTCCCTTGTTGTCTTCTAAGAGGTTTTTTTTTCTTTCTTTTTTTTTTTTTTTTTTTTTGAGACAGCCTCAAGCTGTTGCCCTGAGTAGAGTGCTGTAGCATCACTGCTCACAGCAACCTCAAACTCTTGGTGATCCTCTTGCCTCGCCTCCCAAGTAGCTGGGACTGCGAGAGCCTACCACAACGCCTGGCGATTTTGGTTGTAATTTTTGTTTGGCGGGCCCAGGCTGGATTCAAACCCATCAGCTCTGGTGTATGTGGCTGGTGGCTTAGCCACTTGAGCTACAGGTTCTGAGCCAGAGTTTTATAATTTTAGTTTTTATGTTTAAGTCTTTAGTCCATTTTGAGTTGATCTTTGTGTATGGTGTAAGGTAAGGATCCACTTTCATTCTACTGCAGGTTACAGCCCAGTTCCCGACATCATTTATTGAAGAGTACTCATTTCCTCCATTAAAGAGTTGTGATGGGGCGGTGCCTGTGGCTCAGGGAGTAGGGCGCTGGCCCCACACACCGAGGGTGATGGGTTCAAACCCACCTCCAGCCTAACTGCAACAAAAAAATAGCGAGGCATTGTAGTGGGCGCCCCAGCTACTTGGGAGGCTAAGGCAAGAGAATCACCTAAGCCCAAGGAGTTGGAGGTTGCTGTGAGCTGTGACTTCAAAGCACTGTACTGAGGGTGTGAAACTCTGTCTCAAAAAAATAAATAGTCATGATGTCGGCTCTGCGCCTAGAGCTCAGTGGGTAGGGCACCAGCCAAATACATCAAGAGAGGCTGGCAGGTTTGAACCCAGCTAAACAACAATGATGACTCCAACAAAAAAATAGCTGGGCATGGTGGTGAGTGCCTGTAGTCCCAGCTACTGGGATGCTGAGGCAAGAGAATCACTTAAGCCCAAGAGTTTGAGGTTGTTGTGAGTTGTGATGTCATAGCACTCCACTGAGGGCGACATAGCGAGACTCTGTCTCAAAAAAAAGTAGTGACATCCTCATCAAAAACCATTTGACTATATGTGTGGGAGTTTACTTGTGGGTTCTCTGTTCTGTTCCGTTGACCTGTATGCCATGTGCTATTAACATACTATTTTGCTTACTGTATCTTCATATAGTAAGTTTTAAAATTAGGAAGTATGATATCTACGATTTTGTTCATCTTTTTCAAGATTGTTTTGGCTGTTTGAAGTCCTCTTAAGATTCTATATGAATTTTAGGACAGTTCTTTTTTTTATTTTTGTAGAACACGTGCCTGGGCCTATTGAGTTTGGGGGGGTACTTTTGCCAAATCATTGGATCATAAGTTCATGTAGCTATGTCTGAAGTCTCTTCTGTTTATTGATCTGTATGTCTGTCCTTGTGGCAATAACATGGATTCTGTTAAGAGCTTTATGAGTAGGGTTACCAGATGTCCCACTTTTTAACAATTTGTCCCGTGTCCCACGGCATTTTTAAAAAGTCCTGATTTTTGGAAAGAATGCACTAACGGGCAGGAGAACAGGAAGGGAATATATGGTTTTCGGCTGCCATGTGGCTGTTTTGCCAGAATATGAGTTTTATATTATTTTTGTTAATTTTATAATATTAAACTGTAATAATAACAAATAATTGTTGAGAAGTGATTATCAAGAACTGCTTATCAAAGTTTGCATTGTTGTTATGCCCTGCCCTGCCCCGTCCCCTACACTGCCCTGTCCCCACCCCACCTCCGCCCGGCCCCTGCCCCACCCCCGGCCATGTTGTCCTGCTTTACAAATGTTAAAATCTGGTCACCCTATTTGTGAGGTCTTCAGGTCACATACTAACTTTACTGTTTTCTAAATTTGTTATGGGCATTCTCTGTCCTTTGCATTTCCATATTCATTTTAGTATCAATTTATTTTCTACAAACACAATAAAAAAAAATACTAAAGTTTTGATTGGGATTCCATTGAACCTGTGAGTCAGTCGGGGGGAGAATGACATCTGTAGGGTGCTGATCCATGAACATGGTACACCCCTTCTTCTGTCTGGGCCTTTAATTTCCTTTAGGCGTGTTGTCTAGTTTATTGTAGAGCCACCCTTACCCTTTGTAAGTTTATTCCTAAATGTTGTTTCTGGTGGTGGTATAAACCCTTTTTTATATTTCATTTCCAAATTCTCTGCTGCTGTCGTCTTGAAATTATTTGCGTAGTGAATCTGCCTCCTGCAGCATCGCTCTGTTCACCTGTTAGTTCTAAGAGTTCTTCGTAGATGTGTAGATTTCTTAGGATGTTCTTTGTAGATAATTATGTAGTCTATGAATGAGGACAGGTTTACTTCTTTTATTGATCTTTTTGCCTTTTACTCTTCTTGCCTTATCACAATGGATGTGTTCTCCAGTCTAGTGCCAACAAGAAGTGTCAGCAAAGTAAACTTTGCCTTGTTCTCTTAGTTAGAAGAAATGTGTTAACGTTCCACGTTAGCTCTACATTTTGCACAGATTCCAAAATCAGAACTCAGCTTCTTGCTACTGGTGGAAATAATATGGGTCTCTTGCCAGGAGATGAATGCCAAAGCCTTTTGTCTAGAATTGTGCTGTTGAATATTAGCCATGTGGTGCTGTTTAAATTTAAATTAATTAAAGTTAATTATTATATAAATATAAAAGTTAATATAAATATAAAAGATAAATATAAAACTTCATTTTCTAAAATGTCTTCTTTGATATATTTTAAATGCATAGTGGCCACGTATAGCTAGTGTCTGCTGTAATGGATGCTAATATAGAGTAAGTCTAACATTGCAGATCCAGGATTTAAAACAAAGTGACCCTGTTAAATGGACAAGTTGGTTTAGCGTGAAGGGAAGGTTGTGTTCTCTCTTGAAAGTTGAAGACATCAGGAGGCACCTGTTGCTCAGTAGGCAGGGTGCCAGCCCCATATACTGAGAGCAGCAGGTTTGAACCTGGCCCTGGCCAAACTGCAACAAAAAAATAGCCGGGCGTTGTGGCAGGCGCCTGTAGTCCCAGCTACTCAGGAGGGTGAGGCAAGAGAATCACCTAAGCCCAAGAGCTGGAGGTTACTGTGAGCTGTGATGCCATGGCACTCTACCCAGGGCAATAAAGTGAAACTCTGTCTCTAAAAAAAAAGAAAAAAAGAAAGAAAGTTGGAGATATCACTCAAAGATAGTATGTCATGTGTTTTTGCTGACTTATCCAGAAAAATATTTTAAAATGAGAAGAACTAATTTCTTTCTTTCTTTCTTTCTTTCTTCCTTTTTTTTAAATAGCCACAATGCCTGGCTATTTTTTTGTTGCAGTTTGGCCAGGGCCAGGTTCAAACCCACTGCCCTCAGTATATGAGGCCAGTGCCCTACTCACTGAGCCACAGGCGCCACCCGAGAAGAACTAATTTCTGATTGTTATTCACCCATTCTATAAATATTCACACATTTTTACATTCTTCTGAAGAGGAGTCTAATGTGTGTGAGACTTCTCTCAGGGTAGGCATTAGAGTGTGGTTAGTTATTACTCAAGCAGCTCTTTCTCCTGTTAATCGGATTAGCTTTAAGTAGTATAACTTAATGTAAAATTAGAAGGATTTAGAATTAAGAGATTAAGAATTAGTCCTGGGTGGTGCCTGTGGCTCAGTGAGTAGGGGGCTGGCCCCATATACCAAGAGTGGTGGGTTCAAGCCCAGCCCCACCCAAACAGCAACAAAAAAATAGCCAGGAATTGTGGTGGGGACCTGTAGTCCCAGCTACTCGGGAGGGTGAGGCAAGAGAATCGCCTAAGCCTAGGAGTTAGAGGTTGCTGTGCACTGTGTGACACCATGGCACTCTACCAAGGGTGATAAAGTGAGACTCTGCCTCTTAAAGAAAACCAAAAAAAGAATTAGTCCTTCAGGCTTGGTGTATGTAGCTCAGTGAATAGGGCACTAGCCACATACACCAAGTCTGGCAGGTTCGAGCCTGGCCCAGGCCTGCTTAACAACAATGACAACTATAACCAAAAAATAGCCAGGCATTATGGCAGACACCTGTAGTCCCAGCTACTCGGGAGGCTGAGGCAAGAGAATCGCTTAAGCCCATGAGTTTGAGGTTGCTGTGAGCTGTGACGTCACAGCACTCTATAGCACTGGGGCAACATAATGAGACTCTGTCTAAAAAAAAAAAGAATTAGTCCTTCAGATTTTTAATTTATCTTTTTCTAGCTGGGAAGACACTTCAGATCTTCAATATTGAAATGAAGAACAAGGTGAAGGCTTACACCATGGCAGAAGAGGTGGTTTTCTGGAAGTGGGTTTCTGTGCACACGGTGGCCTTGGTGACTGAGACCACAGCCTACCACTGGAGCATGGAGGGCGACGCCCAGCCCGTGAAGATGTTTGAGAGACACGCCAGCCTGGCCGGGTGCCAGGTGGTCAACTACCGGACTGACGAGAGCCACAAGTGGCTGCTGCTCATGGGCCTCTCGGCGCAGGTGAGCCTTGTGCCATTGGGGCTGGTCTCATGTGACTCAGAGGCCTGATGGTGGAGTGAAAAGGGCGAGTCATTGAGGGTGGTGTGCAGCTGTAAGGCTGGGGTGCAGCTGCAAGGCCAGGGTGCAGCTGTAAGGCCAGGGTGCAGCTGTAAGGCCCGGGTACAGCTGCAAGGCCAGGGCATAGCTACAAGGCTGGAATGCAGCTGCAAGGCTGGAACGCAGCTGTAAGGCCAGGGTGCAGCTGTAAGGCAGGGGCGCAGCTGCAAGGCTGGAGCGCAGCTGTAAGGCCGGGGTGCAGCTGCAAAGCTGGAACGCAGCTGCAAGGCTGGAACACAGCTGTAAGGCCAGGGTGCAGCTGTAAGGC